GCCTCAATTCTCCCCTTTATGTAACAATAAAGCCTTGGAACTTGCCAAAATCGGCACCCAAGGCGCACTTCGTTGGCTTCAGCTTCATCTGTTATTTCTTGAGGGTGTCGAAGACTTCCTTTAGATCAGTCAGGTGCTGCTCGACTTTCTTGCTCTTCACCAGTATGTCATCCACATAAACTTCCATGTTTCAATCGAGTTGTTCTTTGAAGATGTGATTCACTAGTTTCTAGTAAGTGGTGCCAACATTCTTCAACCCGAAGGGCATCACCTTATAGAAGTACAATCCTCGATTAGTGATGAAGGTGGTCTTCTCCTAGTCATCTAGGTGCATCTGGATCTAATTATAACTGAAGAAGTTGTTGATGAAACTTATGTTCATACCCTATTGTTGCGTCGACGAGCTGGTCAATCTTCAATAGGGGAAACTATCCTTGGGGCAGGCCTTGTTTAGGTCAGTGAATTCTATACAGATCCTCCACTTTCTGTTGGTCTTTTTGACCATCACCACATTTGCCAGCCAATATAGGTATGCCACTTCTCAGACAAAGCCGGCGTCGAGCAGTTTCGGCACTTCTTCCTCTTCTCCTGCCTCATGGGTCGGTAGCGCAAATCGATATTTAAATTCTAGGTGATAACCTTGGGGTCAATCCTTGGCATGTCTGATGTTAACTAGGTGAACACATCGGTGTTGTCTCTGAATAGTTGCACAATGTCATCTCAGAGGCAGCCTTCTAAGAGAGATCCTACTTAGACTGTTTTCTCGGGGTTATCGTTGAAGAGGGGCACTTGGATGAGGTCTTCCATGGGCTGGCTGCGCTATGTTTGCAACTGGTTTCTCTTGTCCATGCTTTCTGTGGTGAGTTCTTCAATGGCGTGTGGTCTCCCTCTACAGGCCGTCAGGTAACACTACCTCGCAATTAGTTCTTTTGTTTCCACGGGCTACGCCCACTTCGTATGGGGCCAAGAACTTCATGGCCAGGTGGTACGTGCAAACTGAGGCTCGTAGAGAGTTCAACATAGGTCAGTCGAGGATGGTGTTTTAGGGGGGCAAGACGCGAACGACAATGAAGTTTGTCGTCGTTGTGGTGGTGATGAGATCGTCACCTATTAGYAGTGGCAGAGTGATTTCCCCTTGGGGTATCAATGAGTCCCTRGAGAATCCCACCAGGGGGTGTTGATTGATGTCAAACGGTCCTTCCCGATGCCGAGCTGTTCGTAGGTTTCTTCAAAGAGGATGTCGGTTGAGCTCCCTATGTCCACCAATATGCATCAAACCTCAAAATTAGCGATCTCTGCGGTTATCACGAGGGCGTCGTCGTGCGGTGTTTGAACTCCCCTAAGATTGTCTACAGAGAATGTGATGGGGGCATCCTGCCTCTATCTCTTTGGTTCCCTATCTTCAACTTGATGCAATCTGGCATAGGCCTTGCGGGTCGAGCTACTCTCTCATCCGGAGGTCATCCTGCCTGAGATGACAGCGATGGCTCCGACTGGTGGAGATCGGGCTAGTTGTGTGTCAGTGTGGCACTCTTATCCCTTTGGCTTGTGCTCCTTGATGTCAATGAACTCGCCAAGGTACCAGTGTCGGATGAGGTCCTCCAAGTGGTGGCATACATCATGGCAGCTCTCAGTCTCGTGGTTGTGGTCTTGATGGAAATTGCAGTACTTGTCTCGATTCCTTTTGTTATAGTACTTCATCTTTCTAGGGCACCTGATGGAGCTATGGTTGTGGATCTACATCAATATTTTGGCCTATGGCATGCTCAAGGGAGTAAAGTTTTTGTACGTTGGTGGCTCTGTCTCTTGTTGTCTCTGTCCGATCTGCGCTCATCATGGTCCTTTTGCTTCCTATCATGTTGGTCTTCTTCGCTCCTTTGTAGCGCCTGGGCTTTCTTGTCGTTCATGTACTTCTGTGCATGTTTCATGAGCGCGATCAAGTTGGGTGGAGGGTTCTTTTGTAGCGAGAAGTTGAACATTGAGGAGCATAGCCCACTTATGATGGCTTCCATAGCTACTGATTGGTCTAGAGTTCGGACTTGAAGGGCCCCGATGTTGAACCTTGCCAAGTATTCCTTCAAGGTCTCTCCTTTCCTCTCTCACACTTGCATTAGGCTGGTTGACGTCTTCTAATGCCTTTGGTTGACAGTGAACTGCGCCAGGAGGATATGGATCGCGACGAAAGGGAGGCGTACTAGGTTTCGGTGACTCCGTTGAGGGTGGCAACGAAGACCTTGCACATGAGGACCTCGAAGGAGATGTGTAGAATCATTATCGCCTTGAACCCCTCAATGTGATCATTGGGGCCCAAGGCTCCATTGTACTTCTCAAACTGTAGGGGTCTTCAGCTGACTGGGGAAGCTTTTCAACGATTTCCTAGACGAAGACGGGTTCCTTTGTGGGCTAGTTGTAGTAGGTGTGAGCATTCGGTTTATTCGGTTAAAAAACGAATTGAATAAATCAAAGTTTTTAAAACTAAAATAAAAAATGAAAACCGAACCAAAATTTTTGGTTCAACTTTCGGTTATTTCAGTTAAAAACTAAATTTAATTAATTAATACGTATATATACACAATATTATATATTATAACCTATAATATATATTATGAAATTTAATTTCATTATAATACATTATATATAATATATTAATATATAAATATATAGCATATCATATATTATATAATGAATTTTTGTTAATTCGGCTTTTTTGATTAACCGAATTTCTAAATCTGAAAACTGAAATACCCAAAAACCAAAACCAAAATTTTCGGTTTGGTAATTCAGTTTTAATTGAATAACGCTCACCCCTTAGTTGTAGTGTTGCTCTGATGGTTGGGCCATCGGAGGAGCTTCGCTTTTATCCACTTGGTTGCATTCCAATTCATCCAATCGCTTTCTTAGTTCTCTGATTTCAGCATCTCTATCAGTTGGGACCACGTTTGCGGATTTTTCCCCTTTCAGGATCGTAGTCTAATCTCAGACTGAGCTGTATTTGGCTATCGAGATCGGAGGCTGTTGCAAACGTAGGCCGAGCCGTTCTTTTGCCAGTACCCAAGTGGATCTTCTACAGTCGTCATGCGTGCAAGGTTGGGCTGGGAGTCAGACATTCTGGATGGTTGCATTCGTTCACAGTCAGATTGGGCACTATGCTTGTCTGCATGGTGCCTTTTGGGGTCCTTGGTGCGAAGATCGACTATAGTAGGCTCCTACGCGGCAGGGAGAGTAGATTGGGGCATGCGCCAATTGCCCCAACGTCTCCATCATGGCTAGGATATGGTCGACCTTTTGCTGCATGGCTTGGAACTGTGCAAGGTCAACTACTCATGATGCAGGGGTTCTCGAGGTGGGGATCTGCAGAGTGAGTGGGACCCCCGAGATGGGGAATGAGCTCTAGAGTGGTTGGATGTGTTCTTAGGCATGATTGCTTTTAGTGCATGGAGAGGGGTTTGGGAAATGACTTTTTGTACATTCCCACGAACAACGCCAATCTGATGCTATCCGATCTGAGGTGTTCCAAACCGAAGGCACAATCAAATAGTCTTGCCAATTGGACGAGGTCGAGGTGGAAGGACGAAGCCCCACACCATGATCTGCAACCAGGAGAAAGGTCAAAGGCCCGAGGAGTTGTTCCCCGGGTAGGTACTCTGGCGCTCAAGCCAGTTGGTCCGAGAAGGATGTGGTCGAGCCAAGCAGGTTGAAATACGTTGATCCGACTGAAGAGGTAGTGCAAAGAGGTATTCAAAGAGTGTAGTTCCCAAAGGTCTCTTACCTTGAGCGGGGAATACCTATTTATATTTGGGCGTTCGTGTCCTAGATATATAGGACTTCCGGGGTTGTCAAGATGATGGCATCCATTGAGGTCTTTAGGAGGTTTCCTCTTCCCTGTCGCTTCCTTGCCTGTATAGGACACTCTTTCTTAGTCATGCTCTTCCATTATGTGTGGCGTCGACGTGGCTTGAGAGGGGGGCCGGCTGTGGAGATTGCCACATGGCATCCTTGGCCAGCTCAACCATCACCCAAGCATATCCGTATCTTGTATTGTGAGAAGTGCATACTGCAATGTATTGTGGATAGGGTGCGGGTAGAGAAAATGAATAGAACATTTGATTACTAGAGGTAGGATTCAATTTGCGATTGAATCTACCTCTATAAACATTAGTATCGATTCCAATTCCTTAAAAAAACAAATGCAAGAAAGGATTCAATTTGCGATTTTAATTCTTAAAAAAAAATTGAATGTCCAAACTTGAAAACAAAGGAAAATAGCAAAACAAAACTTAAAAAACAAAGGAATGGCAGCCCAAATCAAATTAAGAAAATGTTGATATTGAAATAGATAGGAAATGAAAAAAAAAGGTTGGAAAAATGGTCTTTTGTGATGATTATCATTACAGAGAGAAAAAAAAGTATGGGATCAGGATTCCCCCAACAGTAGGCACTTGCATAAATCAAAATCTATTGTTGCAAGTCCTTATAATGAGGAAATGCTGAAGTGGCGCTTAYGTAACAACATTTATTCAATAAACGCTCACGAACGCTTYATTGAATGTGATTCAAATTAATCCTCTTTTTTACTATTAAAATTAGATAAAAATATAAAGCATAGAATCGCCTTAGACGCAAGTTGAAATGTTGAATAGCAAATTTGAATAATTTAGTTTACACAACGGTGGGCCGGAAAAGGCCTGGGCCTTAACATTTGCTCAACCCAAGCCCGCCCAAATTAGGAAAAATGTACGTTCATGGTATTTTTAGTAAGATACATACGTTCACGGTCTAGCATCATTTAAATGACGAATTCGCCCTTCAAGAATGAAGACGGTATTAATGTCCGATGGATATGTTCGTCATTAGGTAAAAAGAGTCCAGTGTTTCGGTCCTTCCATCGATTCAAAGTCATCATGAGTCACGCCGAGGGTCCAGGCGTCCAGCGGCCAGCGAAATATTACCGTTGCCCTAACGTTCCAAAGTCCAAATTTTAAAAGTTAGCTCTCAAGACTCCTTACTGACCGTTAACAGGCTATACGGTGGGAGAACCGGAGAAGAAGATAACTCGTCTTTCTCCATCACCTGACCTGAGACTGCTTCCTCTTTGCCATGCGCGGATTCCCGTCTAAGATCGAGAATTAAGAGATTTCGACAATCTTGAGGTGTGTGAATCATATGAGTTGAGAGAATACGGTTCCAATCTCTTCTTGCTTATTCCTTGCGCCAGAGGGCAGAGGTGGATTGGAAAAAGAGACAGAATTTCTTGATCGTTTCTGGCGAATTTCCTATTTGGATTCCTCTCAATGTTGTATTGATTGGAAATTGCAGCATCAAGAAATTTCTGGGCCTTTTTCTTTTACCGAGAGAATCTGTTCCACTAGAGTTTCCCTGTTCTTAATTTCTTTCAGTCGATACTCAAAATGCATTCACCTTCTCTTTTTCCGATTAGTAATCTTTATTGATTCTTATTTCCTTCCTAGCTATCCCGTGGTTCAGTTCGAATCTTGACAATTACCCACTTCGATGGCCCAAAATTTGGTCTTTTGTTTCCGATCTTTCATGCTGTGAATTTTCTGCTTATTTGATTCCAGCTCTGTTTGGTACTTTTGTGACTGATAAACTTCCAAGCACCTTAAATCTGTTTGTGCAGAACTCGAAGTTCATGGCCACGTTGGCACCAGGAATTCTATTGAAGCTACTTAATGGCATGAATACAGGGACGAAAGCCACCAGTGAGCACAGAAGCTCACTTCTGCAGGTGACAGACATCGTACCTGCAGATCTCGATGAAAAAAACCTCTTGCCCAAACACGGTTTCTATATAAAGGTATCTGATTCTTCCCATTCGATCTATGTCAGCCTGCCCTTTGAACAAGATGATCTTGTCCTCAGCAATAAAATGCAGCTTGGGCAGTTCATATATGTGGATAAATTAGAGCCAGGGTCGCCTGTTCCTATAATCAAAGGCGCAAAGCTTCTTCCTGGTCGACACCCATTAGTGGGAACACCTGAACCACTAATTGGTCTCAAAGACAGCAGAGAGAGAACTTCATGTTCGCAGAAGCTTCTTGCTCACAGAAGAGGTTCTTGGGGAGTAGAGCAGAATGGAACAGATGTTGTTTCTTCCCCTTTGCCAGTGAAGCCAATTCCTTTAGATTTAGATCAGAATACACCACTAAAAGAGAGGCCTAGTTCAACGAAGAAGAGTACTAACATTTTGATTTCTCCATTAATCAAAGGGAGAATGGAGAAAGAAGGAAACTCAGGAGTTGTTTTCAGATCTTCTGTGGGTGGGCTTTTGTCTAAAATGGTGGATTCAAAGGGGGAAAGCCCTGCCAGAGTTAGGAAGAGCTGTATTGCCCCTTCCTCTGCATCAAAACTTCCAAGGAGCAAGAGCATTTGTGAACTGGAGCCGAAGATCCCCAGAAGTCCCTTTAATTCAACTGTAGGTACATCTTTCCTCTTCTCCATCTCTTTACTTCTTGCAAAACAACCTGAATATTGTTTACAGGAACACTTCTGTTCTTGCCACAGTACCTGATGGATTATATAAAAGTTTGCATTTTCTCAGCTTGTTTTGAAGGAAAGCTGAATATATTTTCTACTTGATTTTATTGTAGGAAAAGAGGAGTTCAACTCCACCACCCAGATTAAGAAACATTAGAATAGGGACCTCAAATCAGTCTGGGGATGTACAGAACTCTTCAAGTTACAATGCAATTTTTCAACCAAAATTTCAGTGCGACAATCCGGACTCAAAGAACAATATCAGTCCACCCATGTCTCTACCCGGGAAGCTTAGTATGCTTGGGAAGGTAAATGATAGTGATAGTATGAAACATTCTTTATTTCCATTAATTATAATATTTATTTTATCAAGTTCCATAACTTCACATTTGCCGGTAACAGGAAGCTGTACAACAAAGGGAAACAGCTCAGAAAATAGCTCTTCAAGCATTAAGAGATGCTTCTGCAATTGAAACTGTAGTTCGGTCTCTCAGGTACAAAGACCCCCCCCCCCGGTCTGCATGTCTGTGTTTTTCCTTTTCGTAAATGATTAGTGGTCAGTTGGATTTACCAAGCAAATTGAGATCGTTAGTTTGGTTTTGGTTCTGCAGGACATTTTCAGACTTGATTAAATCAGCAAAACCGGATGAGCCTGCTTCCTGTTTTGATCAGTTTCTGGAGTTCCATCAGCAGATTACACAAGCAGTAAGCGATATGGAAACCATTCAAGCAGCTACAACAAGTAGCGAATTGGCACAAACTCCAAACCATGACAAGAGAGATGCATTAAAGAAGCAAGCTGAAGAAAATTCCGTCTTACATGAAATAGAACACAACTCAACAGACCAGAAGTCATCCAAGAGAAGATTGGCATTATACAAATCAGTTGCAGCCATCCCAGATAGGGATGATTTGAAGGACATGGGAAAGCACCTTAGATTGAATCTAAGCCAAAAACCTTCTTCTGAAAGAAAAGGGGTTTTCAACCTCAACGGCAGAGCACCCATTGAAACTGCCTCTGACAACGATGAAAACAAGAAGCCGAGCTCTAGCACCATCAACAATACAATCAAAATGGGTAAGAAGATTGAGAATGAAGCTGGAAACTGGTTTATGGACTTCTTAGAAAAAGCCTTGGAGACAGGTATGAAGAAACCAAGAGGAAGAATGACAGAGGGTGATAGTCGGAAAGTCCCACAATCTCTCATACTCAAGGTTATCAACTGGGTGGAGGTGGAACAGTGTGATAGATCTAAGAGACCAGTTCATCCTAGGGCAGCACAAATAGCCAGGAAATTAAGGATCAAGGTGAAGAATCCTTGAGGGAAGTTATGTTTAGGATCTAAACGGAGTGATGTAAACTTGTATAAGATTTATTATTACTACATTCATTATATTTCTTCCTGAAAATGAAGTTTGATTCCCATTGACCAAAAAGCCCATGTTTTTTTTTTTCAGATTTATGTGGGGACAAGGGAAGATTTATTTTCCTGGGTATCGGGTAGGTGGTGGAAACTTTTCCACTCGTGTTCTTTTTTCAGATTAATGTGGAGACCAAGCGAACAGCGATGAAATGCAGTTAGACATTTTATAAACCGCACATATCCCAGTGAGAAGAAAAAAAAAATACATGGAGAATAACATGTATATAAAGATAAAAATTGATTCATACGGGTGTTTCTGATCATATTGGAGGGCATGCAAATTCTCCCAAACCTTCCAGCAACCTAATGCAGCATCTCTTGATGATGATGGCATTTGCAAGAGAAATGCAGATGGCATTTGCAATAAAAATCCGTTATTAAATGTATAAGTGCATTTACCCATGTAAATAAGACAACCATTTTAGCCATAAAAATCCATTATTAAAAGGGACATTTTTGTCCCATTCAAGTGTTGACAACTTTCCCCCTAGGTGGGATAATTATTTATCCACCTAGGAGATCGGTATCACTTACATAAATCTGAAAAAAAGAACATGGGTTTCTTAGAATCCCATTGACCAACTTTCCTCCCTCTCAAAATCCGAAAAAAAGAACGCTCAATGGTTTAGGGTTAATTACTTAATTCCCCACCTCCACTAACATAGCTTCAATTAAACAGAATGCTAAAAATGACATTTGAAGCTTTTCAAAAGTTCGTTTTACCCTTCTTCTGACACCTTGTATATATGGAAAAATACCTTAATATATTTATGTACAGATTGTGGGAATAAATGAATGAACTTCATAATTTCAAAACATATATTTCAGAGACAAAATTTTACTATTAAGGAACCTCTCTGTAGTTCATGGTCCAAGCCTTGAAAAATATGGTATAAGTATTTAGTCGGAAAGTAATTCACTACCTTCATATTTATGTACAGATTGTGTGCCTTGAAAAATCGAAATGGTGTTTCTCTTTACTTTTGGTGTTGAGACAAAGGGGGAATTACAGTAGTACATTGAATCAAAGCTCCAGATACATTTCGCCACTCTCAATCCATTTGCACATAAAAAGTGCAGTGGACTTACACTAATACACTCTACCTTAGCTAAAAAAAAACCCTGGAATGGTGTTCAACTAATAGGAGATTTACTATTAATTGCTACTTAATGGGTACAAGAAGATTACCAACAACTTGTATGACTTTTTTTCGGGATTAACAAGCCAAAAGTGGTTTACTTTACAAGATACAAAAAAGAGAAAGGGATCAACTTCTAGTGTCCTTGTTCTGTTTCAAGAATTGGAGGTCCTTCATTTGTAGTTCCACAGCTTGTTTTGATAATGTCTTTGGCTCTGGAAAATATTCATTTTCACCACCTTCAGCTACTTTCTTTGCCTTAGCTTTGACAATCCTATCTATCTCAGATTTCCCAACAGAGGGGAAAACTGCATTTAGCATGATGGAAAGTAATCTCTCATCTTCTTCTTCTATGGGGTCCCTACCAAAGCAACAGACATAAATAGCTTCAAGAGCTTTTTCCACTCGAATCTCCATAGGGATAACAGGAGCTCCAGCCTTCAGCTTTGCTCGTTTCTGCATTTAAACATTGCTTTTGTCAAGTGTGTAGTGCAAAATAAAGGCAAAATGCACCGAAATGAAAAAAAGGCAAAACAAGTATCAAATACCAAGTTCTATTTATTTATTTGTTTATTTTTGGGGTGGGGGAGGGGTACAACTATTCTCTGGCAAAGTCCTATACCAAGGGTACACTCTTCTTTATTCCTTCATCAAGATGGAATTGTTTGTCATCTCAACTGATTTAGAGTTTAAGAATCATTTATCTACTACCAATTTTAGAACAAAAACATTCACAATGTTGCATTCATGACTCAAAGGCCGGGTGAAGGACATTCATGGAAGATGTAGATTTTACTAAAATCATCTTTTTAACCAAGGACTCCCCATTATATGAATTTTGTGCATGTTGCACACAGTATCAGATATTATAGCACTTACACAGAACATAACTGATGATACATTTTATGTTGTCAAGTATTAATTGTATGCTATTCATATACCACTTTGTAAAGATCAGCTTATTATAAGTGTTTTTTTTTTCATATTGCAAATTGTATCATTGTATGCACTAATTGCCCTGGAATATTTGCCGTAATATATGAAGAAACTGCATATTTTCCAAATTCAACAAGCCAAGGATCTCATTCAACAATGGACAATTCACATATTTGCAACCTTGTTAAAGTCATTATCAGAGGTAAGCTGTTTTGTACTGTCTTTTATTGCATTTAGTGGAATAACCTGGACTTCCCTTTGACTCTTTGCCAGTGAAACATGGAAAAATGGAAATTATGCAAGGTTCTCTTCAAATTTTTGTTGTATTTGTATATTTACATTGGCTTGGTTCTCATATATGGTAATACATGATACTCATGTTTTTCCTACTATTTCTAGTTAATTTGAACCTTTTATGAAAAACAGAGGGCACGTGCACATATATGCTTACATACAAGATTGATGCCCTTCCATAAGCATGAAAGTTTTGTGGACAATATCCTTCTGTTAGTTAATTTAAATATTTTACAAAAAAAAACAGAAAGCACACAGAAATATGCTTACATACATGTTTGATGTCCTTCCATGAGCATGAAAGTTTTGCGGACAACCTTCTTCTGTTAGATATTCTAATGACAGGTTGCCAAGAACTAAAACTATCAGAATGGGTATCTTCCCTCACACACAATCATTTGGGGATTATGGGAGGAAAGGAACCTCAGAGTACTTGAAAACAAAAGTAGAGACTATCACAACTTGGAATCACAGTCATCTTCTTCAGCAGGAATATTTCTACCTACCCCCCTCCCCCCCCCCGCGCTAAGCTCTGTTAGAATACTGCCAGCTACTGACTGGTTCTCAGATTTGATGGCAATGCAATGGTAAATCCTGGACCTGCTGGCATCGGCGGTGTCTTCTTATCGAACCTGGGTGAGTTTATATGGGCCTTTAGTGGTCTGTTAGGGGTGGATTCTTCATTCAAAGCAGAGCTTCTTGCACTACTATGGGTTTCATTCATTCTCTGTTCAAGAAGACTCCATTAACTCTATCAGGTGGCTGAATTCAATGGAGGGGAGGGCGGTTCTTGGAGGCTGAGTCTTAGTTGAGACAAGAGACCTGATTTCCTCACTGTGAGCTTCACTTAGTTGGATCCCCAGAGAATTCAATACAGTCGCACTACCTAGCAAAATCAGGTGTCCATAGATAGAATTTATACGGCAGCAAACTTGGTTGGATCCCCAGAGGGCTTTCATTTTTTTTATACATCCTCCTTTTGGAAAGCCCCAAACTTGAAGCTACGGAATTCCTGCTGAATAAGCTGCAAAAAACTTATAATTTATATTCTCATTATTAATTCAGGTATCAAGAAGGGAACTTCAGAAAGATCACTGCATCAATTTAATTTTATCATTTTTTGGTGTGGACTATCAACATAAAATTAGGTCTCCATATAATTTAAGCAACTAAAAGTAGGGTAATCATAACAAAATCTTTCTTGCTTTCTACCAGAGAAACAAATATAAGTCCTCCCTATCAGAATAAATTTGTACTTGTTAATCACATACATAAAGCGACAACGCCAACTTCCAATGAATTTACATATCAAAACACTATAAATTGGAAATAGTAATCTTTACATAGAAAATGATGAGAGCCACCAACCTCTTTTGCTTCTCTCATAATAGCAAGAAAGTTTTCCTCTTCAAATTCAATATCATTCGAAATGCGAAGCCTTGCAACCCCCTGCAGAATTTCCTCTGATTTTAGCAACCCTGCACCTACTGCAGCCAACCAACAGCATAATAGAACGTACAAAGGATCCCCTGCCTACCAATAAAAACAATAACTGAATTTAGACATAACAAAATTCCTTTTTTTTTTTGGGGGGGGGGGGGGGGTTGGTCCTACAATTATCCTACAATTATTTAAATGAGGAAACTAATTTAGGGAGACTCGTAGAACTTAGATGCAGATAAATTCATAAATATATCTTTTTTTTTTTTCTTTTTGCGAGTACAATTCATAATATAAATCTTGAAGAAGCCAATAGAAATGACATAATAACGGAACCACAAAAACTAAATAAAATAAAAATTCCATAAATCCCAAATAATTTATTCGCTATAACTAAGAAAATATAATCACAAATACTCAAAAAAGAAATATGAACTTTCCCACACAATTTAATCACCCGAAACCATGAAAATTGGAATAGAATCTAATTTCTGTTACCCGGCCTCGCCGATCTTGAAAGTCATAGAAAGCTCTTGAATCCGTTATTCCACATTTCTTCCCCACCCTCCGTCGGAATTCGGCGAAATCGATAATATCTCCCCCGACGCCTCCTTCATCGCTTAAAATCCTCGCAACGAGGCCAATAACAGGAAGAGCACCAACAACCTTGTTAGCGAAGTTAGACACAGAGTTTCTATTTTCCATGTAAGCCCTAACAGATAAGACTCCATTGCCATTTGCTACTCCGTAAGATCTGTTGGATTCCGTCGGGTTCTTATAAATGTGCCGGAAATGTGAAAAAGGGGTCCACGAGGATTTAGAGTTGATGGTGGAGTGATGGCGTAGGTTAGCATGGATCTGGGTGTGAGGATTGGCGTGGAGAGAAGATGTAGTAGCAGTAGCAGCGGATGTCACACCCGCCATGGCTGTGAGAGGAGAGCTGGAAATCTAATCTGGTTCCCGTTAAATCCTGACCTCTCCATTATATATGTGTAATCTTTGTACAATGTACAATGTATATCATGTGTGTGCTCCACTCTGAAATGTGATCGGGATAGAGATATACAGCAACAAACGATTCCTACCGTCTGATCTTTTGAACGGTTTTAGAAAGTTGATCGAATGGTATGCGGCTTCACTTTACAAGATGGAGGATTCAGATGAATCAGAAATGATCTCATGTCCCCATCATAAGATTTTGCTTTGAACTATGGGCCCATTAGATCCAATGGTTCAAATCCCATATGTTGTAAGTGGGCCAGCACAGTTTGACGGATGAACGTGATGTTCCTCTCCTTCCATACATCATCTCCATAGATCGTGATTACTAAAGTAGTTTACTGCCAGCTGCAAGTGGAGAGGAGATAGTGTCATACAGATTTTAGATAGTCAGATACATACAATACAATACTCATGTTGGACAGAGGAAAATAAATGGAGCAAAGTTTTCGATGGTGGTCCGGACGTGAGGCCAAGGCAGGTATCGGCGTGGGCGTCGTAAAGTAAACCTCCGAGTCCGAGGCGGTTACTTCTGTTTTTCAAAAACAAAATCATACGTGGAGGGCGGTAATCAGTAGCCGCGATTCTGGATGTCAAAAGCTGTGCGCCCGAGCCCAAACATCATTGAGCCAACAAACCCTAACGTCTACTGCGGGCCTGCGGCCATCCTCACCTCCGATGAACAGTTGTCCGTAAGCTCTCTCTCTCTCTCTCTCCCTCTCCGCGGATGGGTGTATGATGTGTTGGCTGCTGGGTTTTTAATGTTGATTTAGGTATTTGGTTTGATGGACAAAGTAGGGCTTTAAGTTAATTTTCAAGTAAAGAAACTTGAATTTTTTTCATTTTTTTTCTTCATCCTTTCTCTCTCCCTCTCTCTTCACGGCTCCTTGGGTTTCTGTTAATTCTCTCTGATTAATTCAATAGAAAAAAAATTTTTCCCATCATTGTGCTGCGGAGGAATCTGGAATTGACTGCTTGTGTCTTCTTTTGGTGCACTATGCTCCTTTCAGTTATTGAAAACAGAAAGTAAACTGGATAGACGTATCTAGGTTCTTTATCTACATCCTTCTGGCATGGATTTTTCATTTGCATTAACTACTGGTTGATTTTGATAGACACAATATCTGTAAAGCTGAAAATTGTTTTTTTTTTTTTGTCAAGCATTCGTTAGCTATATTTGTATTGTATCTTTTATCTTTTGAGCAAACCTAACGCTTGATATTGGTATTATCTTTCAGCTCATATGGAATAAGAATCAATCCTAGTTCACCTGTTACACAGAGTAACTCAAGGGGGCTTCTCTCTCCTTAACCTGTAATTTACCCTTTGAAGCATCCATGGATCTACTGCAAAGCTACACAGATAAGAGTGATGGTGAAGACGAAGAACAGAAGCCTACTTCAACATCCTCCACTCCTTCCTCCCCAGATTCATCTCCTCCTCGAATACCTCTACCATCAAAAAGCTCAGCTCCAAAGGTTGATGACACCATGCTTGCCCTAACTGTTGCTGACAGAAATAGAGCCCTTCACAAACCAATTGATCCTGCACAGCATGCTGTAGCCTTCAACCCTACATATGACCAACTCTGGGCACCAATCTATGGCCCTGCACACCCCTATGCAAAGGATGGTATCGCTCAGGGCATGCGGAATCACAAGCTAGGGTTTGTGGAAAATGCAGCAATAGAGCCTTTTATTTTTGATGAGCAATACAATACCTTCCACAAGTATGGTTATGCTGCTGATCCCTCTGCTTCAGCTGGGAATAATTATATTGGTGATTTGGATGCATTGCAGAAGAATAATGGTGTTTCTGTTTACAATATTCCACAACATGAGCAGAAAAAGCGAAAGCTTGAGAAAAAGAAAGAAGTAACGGAGCATGAGGAGAATGATCCTTCGAGTGATGATGTGGATGTGGATGTGTCTGAGGTAGAAAATCCAGCATCAGAAGAGTGGCTGAGAAAAAACAGGAAGAGCCCATGGGCAGGGAAGAAGGAAGGGTTGCAGACAGAATTGACAGAAGAGCAGAAGAAGTATGCAGAGGAGTATGCTGAGAAAAAGGCTGAGAAAGAGAGAGGTGGTGGTGGAGATAAGACTGAAGTAGTAACAGATAAAAGCACTTTTCATGGGAAAGAAGAACGGGATTATCAGGGTAGGTCATGGATTGCCCCTCCAAAAGACGTTAAGGCAACAAATGATCATTGTTATATACCAAAAAGGTGGGTTCACACATGGAGTGGTCACACTAAGGGTGTATCAGCAATTCGGTTCTTTCCAAAGCATGGGAATCTGCTCCTTTCTGCAGGAATGGACACAAAAGTCAAGATCTGGGATGTTTTCAATTCAGGCAAGTGTATGCGGACTTACATGGGTCATTCAAAAGCTGTTCGAGACATCTCATTTTCTAATGATGGGACCAAGTTTTTGAGTGCTGGATATGATAAGAATATCAAGTACTGGGATACGGAGACTGGGAAGGTAATATCAACATTCTCTACTGGGAAGATCCCTTATGTTGTTAAGCTCAACCCAGATGATGATAAGCAGAACATCCTACTTGCGGGAATGAGTGATAAGAAGATTGTTCAGTGGGATATGAACACTGGACAAATCACACAAGAGTATGATCAGCATTTGGGTGCAGTAAATACCATCACATTTGTAGACAACAATAGAAGGTTTGTCACATCGAGTGATGACAAGTCCCTTCGTGTGTGGGAATTTGGGATTCCTGTTGTTATAAAGTACATCAGTGAGCCTCACATGCATTCTATGCCATCAATTGCACTCCATCCCAATTCAAATTGGCTTGCAGCCCAGAGTTTGGACAATCAAATTCTTATTTACAGCACAAGGGAGAGGTTTCAGCTCAATAAGAAGAAGAGATTTGCAGGGCATATAGTTGCAGGATATGCTTGCCAGGTCAATTTTTCACCAGATGGAAGGTTTGTTATGTCAGGAGATGGTGAGGGAAAGTGCTGGTTTTGGGACTGGAAAAGCTGCAAAGTTTTTAGAACCCTGAAGTGTCATGAGGGTGTATGCATTGGGTGCGAGTGGCATCCACTGGAACAGAGCAAAGTCGCAACTTGTGGCTGGGATGGCATGATTAAGTATTGGTAATACTATCTTCTTCAAATTGATATAAAATCTTCGTACAGTTTAGATGAGTTAATTTCTTTCTTTTTTATTATCTTCGATAGTAACTTGCACACTTAGTATTCAAATGATTGTATCTATCCTGCATCTATGGAATTTGAGCAGAAATTTGATGTGCTAAACTCTTAACCATTTCAAAGTTATGGTTTCAAATTTCAAGCTCATTTTCAGCAACTATGTCTTCTCAAGTTGATTTGCATATAGGATCTGATCTGAAGTACAATGAGTGAAACATACTAGTATTTGAACATTTTTATATGTTGGGTTAGCACTTTTTTATGTTCCGAAAGAAGTTTGATATAAATTAATCTAGAACTTTTTGAGACATTTTCCAGTAATATTTCAACTGGCATAGATCAGGTGCCTTTTTTCACCATATCCACCAGCTACTCTTTTACTGTCTTGATTAGAATTTGATATTGAAATAGTATTTAATATCAAATGCAGTGTAGTTAAAGCATCACATAGCAGTTCAACTTGCCCAGCTAAGACACTAACCCTTGCTTTAAATTCTAGGCAGTTGGTGCCTATATGCCAGTTAAACAGCAATATTTTAAGTGTATAATTTGTGCATAAAATCCTTCTTTGTTTATATCTTAGTTATGCTATAACCTTATTTAGCACTAATAATATAATAAAATACTTATACTGGGAARCGATGATTTAGTCCAGCAGGGAAGAGGGAATGGAGATGAGAAACACATATATGACAAGTAAAAACATCTTCAGGTCTCAAATATACTTGCCTGTGTTACAATTTAAATATGCAACAATTTAGTAGACCAACATCTTTGTTGATTTGAATTAAAATATATGTTAGTTCTGGTAACAGAACAAGTCTTTGCATACACTTGCCTTGAGAAGCCAAAGTGCCTATAAGTTTCTTGGAACATCTTTCCCACACTGATAAATAATAACAATAATAATACAAATACATTGAGATTAGTTATCTAGGACATTTTGAGTTGGTTACTGTCCTGTCTTTGTGGCATTCTCTAATTGATGTTTCTAAGAATGTCTCATATAATTATATAATCTTCCTGTTTTGTTAATTCCAAGGGATGTCTAGTGACTGTTAGATATTGCTTATCCTGAATGAACTTCCAGTTGATTTTAGCATATGGAACACTGAGGAACAAGTATGTATTTATGATGGGTCCTAAAGTTGATCAGTTAATGCTCAATGCTACAAATCTACCATGGGAATATTTGTACACCATTGCCTATCATCCCACCACATTTGGCTCTCTATTTCTTCTTTCTTCCTTAGTCTTGAAGGATATTTGAGATGTTCTAGTAAAAGAATAACATTAGTTCATCCTATCTAAATTTAGGTGATAGCCATAAGCTCTAAAGAAGTCAAGGATGGACTTAGAATCAAAAGCCAAGTTGGAGATTGTGACCCCCACAGAGGTGGGAAAACTTTGATTCTAGTCTTCCACTCTCATTTTCCCCTTGCCAGCCTTGAAGGAAGTGGGAATGTTTCAGAACATGACAACTGAATATCTGTAAATACGTGTTAGTTTGTGTCCAATTCTAAACTTCGTATCTTCTGGTGAGAAATCATAATGTGCATGGACTTTACTCTGATAGCAAGTTTGAGATTTCTAGAGCTAATGTAATAAATAGCAGATGACATGAGTCTCCACACAATCCTATGTCCTTGTTATGTAGTGTTTATGATTATTGCTACCCACTTTTTCACTTTATTATTTGCTACAAAATTATCCTGGGGTTTAGATATTGCTTTTGGCAGCAATTGAAGTAGTAAGATCCTGCAGGTGAGAGTTTATTCCTCAGGACTGATTTTCTTGCATTGCTCCAATGCCTGAAGTTAGCACAATCTATGTGTTGGCATGACCTCATTGTGGAAGGTGACTGTCAAGTTGTGTTAAGTTGGTTCAAATCAAGACCAGAAGGACCCTGATCTTTAAGATTACTAATTGGAGAGGCCAAACATCTAGTAAATAGCCTGAATTTCCCAGTTGGATGGATATCCAGATTTGCAAGATTAACGGGGTTGGGTTGTTATGGAGAATCCCAGGTCCAGGGGCTAACATGTAATGCTGTATTTTTTCTGAATAGAGATGGGACTAACGGATGGATATCCAGATCTGCAAGATGGAATTAACGGGGTTGGGTTGTTATGGAGAATCCCAGGTCCAGGGGCTAACATGTAATGCTGTATTTTTTCTGAATAGAGTAGTCCCATCGGGTGAACACGGCAGATAAAGAATGGGGAATGCACCTTCAGAGATAAAGAGGTTAAAAAGAGAGAAAGAAGGAGATTACACACTTACATGTAGGTAACTTCAAAAGAAGCTTTCCAGTTGACCATTTCAACCCTAAAATTCCAATTACAATGAATCTATTCATAGATCCAACATAAGGGCTCAGATCTCCCTTTGCATATTCCAATTTAGACTAAAAGACTTACCCAAAACAACTTCTAACTGCTTCATAACTAAGACAAACCCATTGGTAAATCCATAAGGACACTCAAATACAGACTCTAACTCCTAAGATCACTTTAATAATATGTCACTCATCTTATTTTGGATTAAACAAATCAGACAATTCTAAAATTGACCCAGAGAAATTGAAAGGCCCAAATTCTGTCAGAGACACACTTTATTGGTAAGATAGTTATAACTTTAACACGTCTGATTTACAATATCTTGGTCTGGTTGGATGGATAGCTCAATCACCTATAGAATGATAATAAAACCATGCAAATATTTTTTACTTTTTTCAAAAAAGAAAGAAAAAAGAAAAGCGGGCTAAAAGAAAAAAAAAGGTAATGATTTCATTTGAACTTCAAAAAAAAATTAAATCTTTGTTAGGACTCTTAAATTAATTTGAATCTATATGATGACTCCCTCTATTCTAAGATGCCAAAAGGCCAGAAATAACTATTAAAAGACATAAATGAACCACTGGCCAACTATATTGGAAGAAGACTGATTTCTTTCTCCATGGTATCTTTGCTTTATTTGTGCATGGCCTCAAGTTATACTTTCTGGAGTTTATGTTTCACCAATCCCTTCTGTTTAATGCCATATCCATTGTTAATTTATGTCTTTTGATATGTTTAAATAAAATTCTCTTTACTATTGCCACAGATTATGTTAAATATAATTTACCTAGAATAGTTGTACACTTGTACCCAACCATTTCATCATTTTCAAAGCTCTCACTACAACCTTCTTAGCAGCAGAGAGGACCACGATTTGTAAGTGTTGTCTACCCATGGCTTTGCTTATAACCCATTAACAGTAAGTAAACTGATGCTGTTCACCACCTACCTTAATGATATCCAAACTAGAGAGGATTCGGCTTCTCCATTTTTTCTTTGCTTTGCTTTTATGCCCTCCCATGTGAGAGTAAATATGTCCTTGTTGATTGTTGAAGGTGTTATTTTGTTTCTGCATGTGGAATCTGTATGGTTCTTCTTTGATTATCATTGGATACTAATTCCTTTTTTCAATCCGACTTACAGGGATTAGCATTTCTTGCGCTGTGCACTTTGAAATCCTGGAAATCTGGTGCAGTTCTCCGCTTGGGGATAGGGGAACAAGAAAGACGTGGATTTGGAACCATTGCTCCTATGTACTTGTTTCTTGTAACATGATTTATAACTATCTCTTCCAAGTTTTTATAGTCCATTATTACTTGATCATCTGCAATTTTCCATCTGTCTTTTTTGTGTGGACAGCATTCCAGCATAATGCAATGAAATTCACCAGTGTCCAGTGTAAGCCGTTAGGAGTACTTAAAGATTGGTTGTTTGATGACCATGAAAGGGTTGGTGGATGCCTATTTTAGCAATATAAACATCTACATAGCCCAGGACAAGATTGCCGGTCATATAATGGGGGGAATACTCCCTGAAAAAGGCCCCAAACCGGTGTTCAATTCCTGTGGTCATGCCAGAGCGGAGGAGTATTGCGGACAAAACAAAAAGAATTCATGTTTTTTTAACAGCAGAATGCTTGACAACAAAATAGAAGGATATATGGGGTTTAACTTTTAACTATCAACCACGTTCAGGTCATTACTTTGCTTGGTGACAGCAAAATGCTGGGCTGGCGAGCACGAGATACAGGGTAGGAAGGCCATTGCGTGCAAGAAATGCTGGAGTTTTGCTGCCATTTGTAGGCAATTGCCTGTTAACGGAGAGAAAAATTATATCGTTGGGATTTTCAGGGTGAAGGTTTTACTTTTTAGTTTTTACAATCATTATTTATGAAGCCTGAAGGGTGTTTATTTTTTTTATTTATTTATTTTTATTTTTGCCTTTTGTTTTCGTAAAAGGGAAAACCACTGAGAGATTGGAGGAAGAATTGAAATTATTAATACCACAAGTTTAGGTGCATTTTTCAATGCCGGAGGATTCCTCAAAACATGGAGAATTAAGATGTCGGGGCAAATGGAAATCGAGCCCAAAAAACATGCCGGGTGACAACTCAATCCCATAAATACAGCAATATAAGTTTGATCTTTGATCCCAATAGATCGGATTTAGAAAAGAAGCTGATCTATCGTGACTAGGGGTGTCAATGGACCGGTTTTGGATTCGAATCCATCCAAACCATTATTAATTTGGACAGATTGGACGGACCAATAAGATAAATTGAATTGGATTAATTCAAACTTAATGATTCAAAGTATTTATTGAATAGGATTGGACCTGGTCCATCCTTAATGAATTTATATTGGATTGGGAGAAGATAGCGCATCATCAGGTTGGATTAAGTTAATATTCTGTTCATTGATAGAAAATAGAAATATAGGTGTCAATGGACCAGGTCTGGATTAGAATTAATCTAAATTGAAACAAATTTGAACAGATTGTTAGATCCAGATATTAAATTGGAATGGTTCAAAATATTTATTGAATTGGATTGGACCTGGTCCATTTGAAATGGACTTACATTGGACTGGATCGGATTGGGCCAAATCCAGTCCAATTGGCACCCCTACATGACCTGCTTTTGCTAGCCAATCTGCCACTTGCTTCCCCTCTCTCTAGATGTGCACATATTAGGCTCTGTCTGGAAAGAGTAGAGATACAAATATGTAGGGTGCAAAATCTTATATTTGTACTCTTTCCTAACTGGGCTTAAGAAACGAACAATCTCTTTTTGTTCCAGTTAGTTTATCAAGCAATATTTAAAGTATCAGTAAACTTGAATCTGAATACAGATAAGGATATGTTTGAAAATACATTGACATAGTGGAAGTGTATGGATACAATTGCATACATAAGGGAAACTCTTATAAATCCTGCAAATACATTAATAAACATTGAATCTAAAAGTTGAAATAGCCACAAATGAAGTGTAGGCATTAATTAAGAATCCAAGACAGAATTACTACATGCATTAAATTATTATTATGTTATTACTTATTTAAGTTATGTTGTCAACTAATAACTGCAAAAATATATAATCAACCTAAAACAAACATTAGACTTGTAAGAATGTGGAAGACCCAATATATAAATCATATGCAGCTATTATACTTTAATTACTAAATTAATTATTGTCTATTTAGTTTTACATTTTTATACTAACAAAAAGGTTGACTTAATATTAAATTCTCAAATGTTTGCTAAGTAATATTTTTATTTTTGTAAATAATAAATATGTTGGTATTTAATATAAATTAAAATATAAATTAATAATTTATAAAAATATATTATCTTAACTTAAAAATACCTTATATGTTAATTTTTCTAAGATACACATCATATGTAGATTCATAAATTGAAATTATTAAAATAATTATTCTATTATTAGTGTTTTATTTCTATAAATCAGTTGAAAGTAAAAAACATTTTTCGATGTAAATGTGAATTGGTTGATTTGATAGAATAATCATTTCATTAACCTTTTATAAAATACTAATTTTGAATATTATTGTTTTTTATTATAGTTGAACATAATATATTAATATATATTATTGTTTATTTGGATTACTTGTGGGTGCTATTTTAGATAAACTAAGGGTAAAAGACTTAAAATACCTTGTGACTCTTTTACATTTCATTCTTTTTTTTTTTCAAATTTTCAAAATCTACCCTAAAATTTTCAAACTCATATGGGTGGTGGTCTCTCTCTCTCTCTCTCTCTCAAAGTAGTTGATATAGCTTTTAATGGATTATACCCTCTTTTAATTCAGATTAAGAGAAAGAATATTTCTTTTTCTTTTTGTCAATTTAATGAAAGAATATCAATTATTTATATGTTTAGATAATAAACTCTCTTGCTTTTTGATGGTGCGTGACTTGGTGCTCCCTGCTGGCTGACATCTCGGATGTCGGATTGAGTAGGTTGCCAGGTCGAGTCGCAAGAAAGTGATAATCAGAGCATCTAGGCTGCTTTACCCAAGGGTGGGCACTTCGGTGCTTAAGTCAGCGAAGAGCTTTGGGAGAGGTAAAAGCGAATGAACTAGAGAGCTAGTGAACTGTGAAAGATAAATCGCACGTACCTTTTTTGTGAATGGGGATGCTTTTATATAGGCTAGCTATCGTGAGGCTCATGAAATGCGTCTGAGATCTTCGGCCCGTTTGGTTCGGATGTGGTTTCATGCCCAAAGATGGACTCCGCGTAAGCAGGTAGTGTCTATCCAGTCCCGTTCGAAGTGGGTGGGGTGATAACCGGCTCTTTCGATGTGGCATCGTGATCCCAGGGAAGTCGGAGATGATAATCTATTGAATGAGGAGGTTGCCTAGCACGTCAGGCAGGTCACTAGCTAAACTCAGGCTAGGTTGGTGGAAGCAGGTCGCATTTTATGCCGACCTAAAGTTTTATCGGGTCGTTTGCAGTTCAGTTTGTTGAAGTGGTGCCGAGGTCATCAGGGTAGGTGCGAGGTCTCCGAGGCGCTCCCGAGGTCTGCTTACGTGGTGTTGAGATGTCGTCTAATTGTAAACCCCAAAATACTTTTGTGGATGTGAAAATTTGAATCTAAGCACTTATAGTTACAAAGTCCATGATCTCACTTGACCATTGAGTTACTTAAGTGATTTGATTATTTGTTTTCATTTTGATATTTGAATGTGTATGATAAATAATGCAAAGGTAATATTTACAAAATTTAAATTATAATTATAAGTTTTAAACTATATATTAATATGTTATTGATAATCTTCATATTAAATTACTCAATTTAATCAATAAACATTATAAAGTTTTAAACTATATTTTATCTTTATTGAAAATCAAGTTTGTAAAGAACATGCTTCATTTTTCTTTAAGGGGGGAGTAAAGAAAGAACAAATTTTGCGGGTATACCTTGGAACCGCCAAGGCCAGAGCTAACCCTAGAACAGGGATGCAAACGGATCAAATCGAGTTTGAATTAGATATATCTGAATCAAATTCAACACTATTAAGAGTCAATCCGAAGATCAAATCAAATCTCATATGTATGGATTCAAATTCGAATCTGATGAAGAAGTCAAATTTCAGATATAATCCAATTCGATTTAAATTTCTTAAAAGTTAATAGATTATTAAAAGAAAAATAAAATATAATAATTAATAAAATAAAACAAAAATTACAAGTATCTTTTCAACTATTTTCATCATATATATACATGTTTTCTATAAAAAATTAATATAACAAAATTACAAAAATACAATATAAGTAAAATATTTATAAATAGACAAATAGCATGTATATGTTATATATATTTATATAAGTAAATAAATAACATATATATCATATCAGATATTCTCGGATTGGATAGGGGGTGGGGGTGAGGGATCCAATTCCGATATGATCTGAAGATCCAAATAGGAGGGAGATTTGGATCCAACAAAATATGATAGGATCAAAACCCGATCCATTTGCACCCCTACATTGAAACCAACCTTCATGAGGTAGGTTTTGGTTCCAAAAACATAGAAGTGACTAGGGGTGGTAGCAAGCCGAGCTTTTCACAAGCTGCTCAAGATCGGCTCGGCTCAGTTTCAATCGAACTTGAGCTCGAGCCCAATTTAGTGGCTCAATTATTAAATGAGCCGAGCTCGAGCCTACTAGAGCTTAGCTCGCGAGCCGGCTCATATATATATTTGATATTTAATATATATATATATAATAAAATTATAGAAAAATAATATATATATATAATATAAATATTCTAATTATTAATTATTATAATTCTTAAAATTTGAAATATAAAATATTTTTTCTCAAAATCAAACTTAAACCGAACCAAGCTCGAGCCTTGTAGAATAGTCTCAAGCCGAGCTCGAGCCTAGTACTATTCGGCTCGACTCGGCTGGAATCCACCCCCAGAAGCGACTCATACTAAGTAGGTTTTAGGTTTTTGCATGAAACGAAATTGAACCTACTCATACTCACCCTTATTTGCATATAACAAATAACTTGTGGAGGATTACATTGCTAAGAGCGTAATTCAGTATCCCAATGTGAGATTGTAGGTAATTCTCCCCAATACTCAGCTTGATCTATTTATATTTATATGGTTGATCGGGTTGATTATTTGATTATGCTCTGGTTTTCCACCAAGCTTTCTCAATGTACAAGAAAGAAAGAATTTCACAATTTCTTATTCTTTGCAAAGAATTAGTTCTGATTTATGTTATTACTTAGTAAAGGTACTATTGTGCTTCATGTGCTTATTTTATACAAATTTGTATAATGTAAATATAGATTTAGAGATGCAAAATATCAGGTTTTGCACTTGCATATTCTTGTACCTATACTCTCCCCAAACTAATAACGTGCTTGGCTATTTTCGTCATTTAGAAATATTGTCTTCAGCCAATATAAATCCTAAATCCTAGAAGGGTATTTTGATAAATTAATTTTCTCCATAAATTAGCAGAGAGAGGGGGCAAATGTTAGAACCTGAACGTTCAGGGGGTAATATTAATGCCACTACCTCAAAGTAAGGGTGGTAAACTGGTAATCTCTTATTTACCCAAAAAAAATGCAGCGAATTACATATTTGCGATGTGCTGCGTTTTTATCCAAATTCTAAAATTTGACTTATCTAATATCCAAATCCAATTGCTGCTCTAAAAGCATTCGGTGCAAACGGAGACCAAAAAACTTGGCGCAGGAATGACCAGAAACCCTAGATTGAGTTGAGTTTTGAGTGTCTAACTGTCTACGTTCTAGACCGTAACTCCGCAACCCATGGAGATGGGTTGTATCTGGATGAGGCGAGCGGGGGGAACCAACTGCTTGGTGGTCATGAAACCTGCCATATCCTCGATAACACCGATTGCGTCCTTCCCAGTGCCCCCTTCAAAACCACCACGACGTCTAATTTTTCTATTTTCTTCATCTTGCCGTTTGTTTTCGAAGATCGCTTGTTCTTCTCCCACGGCGGCTCTTTCGATAGACGACTACGAAACTGGTAATATCTTTCTTCTTTCTTTCTTTCCTTTTTTTCTCTTTTACGTTCATTTTGCATTCTGCAACACACAAGGGATTCTAAAGTTTAATTTGTGTCTGATCTTCCTAGCACTCTAAGTAGTTTATAACTCGAATATTTCAAATTAAGTTGTTCTATTTTGAGTTATGCTTTTGGGTTTCTTTTGACATGTCTTTTGGTGCTCTTCTTTACTAGGTACCGTGAACGGTAGCATAAGCTCCAAGAGCTCAAAGGTGCTCCTGAAGGGAATGAGATATACTGAACTTGAAGTATGCCTTCAATTCCCTTTTTGGTCTCCAGTCTTAAATTTTTACTGATAAAAATTTAGTCATTTTCATCAACTTGGTGCTTGAATGTACATCATTTAGCATTTTTATCGGTAGTGGATCACAATTGTGAGAATCTCTATTTGAACAGAAATGGGTGCAGTCACATGGATACAGGCCAGGGCAGGCTTTAATGCTGTGGAAGCGTCTGTATGGAAACAATATTTGGGCACATTGTATAGATGAATTGGAAGGTTCATCACCCCCATCATTGTCTCTTTTGTTTGTGCTTTTGCGGTTGTGTATATTATATGACATTACTTGTGCTCTGAATTTCAATTGCCTTTACCAATTTCAGGTCTGAATAAAGACTTCAGAAAAATGTTGAGCGAATTTGCTGAATTTAAGGCATTGTCTTTAAAAGATATTCATACAGCATCGGATGGAACTCGAAAGGTGAGCTTAATCTTTTCTAGTTGTCTTTAATTCGGTATATCAGTGTATCTTCTTGAGCCAACACCAACCATGATTGTACATGCATTGTTTCTTGTTGGTTTCAGTTCCATAAGAATATTCTCATTGATTGTGTACTCACAGGAGGCTGCAGATTTTGTTCACTTTGGAAGATGGATTGGGTATAGAAACAGTTGTAATTCCTTGTAAAGGAGGGAGGACTACTGTTTGTGTCTCAAGTCAAGTAGGTTGTGCCATGAATTGTCAATTCTGCTACACTGGCAGGCAAGCTTTTAAACCTTCTCCTTTTTAGTTTCAGCTTTGCAGTTTGGTATCTACAGTTATCAGTTATAGTGATCTAGTATGGTCGGCAAGTTGCATGATGAATGCATACATTTTGTAGGATGGGCTTAAGAAGACACCTAACAGCCGCTGAGATAGTGGAGCAGGCTGTTTTTGCTCGACGTCTGCTCTCAAGTGAAGTTGGTTCTATAACAAATGTTGTATTTATGGTGAGTATAACAGTTTTGCCAAATGTTTAATAAAAATATTGATGGATGAAAAAAAAAAGGAAAACTGATTACAGAATTTTCTGAATGCTTATCAAGTATTAACTTCAAAAACTCCTTGGACCAGCCATTCTTCCTTGTTTCTGTTATATTTGTATTTTATATTGTTGCCCATCATTCACAGCCCACCGGAAAATGATGGGCAAACCACATTAGATTCTAGTGGTTGGGGTTGCCTTGCCTACACTTGGCCTCAAAGCAGATCCTGGGGACTTACCCCCAGATACTCTGAAAAGGCTGCTGACCAATGTATCTATATGAGATGGAGTGGGTTTTTAATGTTTACCTTTTTGGTTCTTTTATTTTACCAATATTTTATTTTTGGGGTAGGATTTTTTGCTTCTTTTCTTACATTCAAGTTTGTTTAGATGTTAATGTTATCATCACTCTATCAATTTCTCATTAGTAGTTGATAGTTTAAAACTAAATGAATTTGTAGGGAATGGGGGAACCACTCCACAACATTGAAAATGTCATTAAAGCTGCCGACATAATGGTAGATGAACATGGCCTTCATTTCAGTCCTCGAAAGGTTACTGTTTCAACCAGTGGACTTGTGCCACAGCTGAAACGTTTCCTCCATGAATCCAACTGTGCGTTGGCAGTCAGTTTGAATGCAACAACAGATGAGGTAACCACCTTTTCCACACTGGTGGCATGTTTATGTGTACATGCATGCACGCTTGTTGGGATAAAGAATTCATTCTTCCATTACAAAACATTTCAGGTCAGAAACTGGATCATGCCAATTAACAGAAAGTATAACTTGGGTGTGCTTCTTGAGACTCTTAGGGAGGAATTGCGCTTCAAACATAATTATAAAGTGCTATTTGAATATGTGATGCTTGCAGGAGTAAATGACAGGTTAGAGAAATACCCCTTTCCTCTGCTTTGCTAAGGCCTTTTTATTCTGGTCAATAATTTTCAAATAGAGACAGTGCTGGTTCATTTTTGCTACATAGCATTGGAAGTTCATGCTTTCTTTGCCTTTCCTTCATGTACATGTACTCAAGATAGGGATGGCAATGGGGTGGGTTCGGGAGGGTTTTGTATAAATTCTAGACCTACACGTCTCTCTGAACCTCCCAACCCGTACCCTCCCCAAAACCCATAGTGGCTTTGATTTCTAGAATCCAAACTCTCCACTCACATGAAAATGCAAAACCCTCCCCAAGCCTACCCTCCCCACATTTGAGGGTGGGGTGAGTTGGGGGGGGGGAAGTTGGTTCTAGAACCCATATCTAATTTCCTTTTATTTCCTGTTATGTTTGTGCAATAAAGTGATAAGCAAGTAAAATAACATGAACAAACATCATAATTTCGAATTATTTGATTAAAACATGTAGGAAATAAGGAAACAAATATACTATTAATTATCCTTTGTATAAAATTCAAAATATTATTAAATTCGACACCTAATATATATGTTCATATGCCTTCCAACAATATGCAGGTTGGGGAGGGTCAGGTTTAGCCTAATACTGTACCCTACCTATACCTGTATGAGTTGTAAAATCCCCAAACCCTTCCACGCTCCTAAATCTGATTTTTAAGAAAAAATTCCGCTCTGACTGAGCAGGTAGGGACGGGTACCCACCAGGTAGGGTAGAAATTGCCATCCCTACTCAAGCTTGTGTCTAGGCTAATGTGCCATCCTAGCAAATTGAAATAATATTTTTCAGTTAATGGATGCCGTTAAAAGTGTATCATATATGCATTTTCTGCAACAAAAAGGTTAAAATTATCCATCTGTATTTTTTTACTAGCAGATTATGTAATTAAGGTCTATTTATCTCTTAGGTTTCTACCTTCATGAAATTCTACTTCAAGTTTTTATGCTACATCTTGCAATTAATTGGTAGCTTCCCACCTTTATGAATTCTACATCTCATTTACTTTGCCTTCTGGAATCATTTGGCTAAATATCATTAAATATGTTAGGACTTATTTTTCTATTTACCATTTATTAAAGTAGTGCAAAAAAAAATCTCTTACAAGATAAATTATTGGCTAATGCACAAGGTGGGCAACAAGAATAACAACAGAGGGAGTCGCAAATACCAATATTTTAAAACCCAACCCGGAAACAGAACTGCTTTTCTGTCCAGGTGGTGGGTCAGCAGTTTAACGCTTAGGGTAAAAAGGGCAAGCCATGACATCATAAATAAAATAAAAATGGATAGAATATCTATGCAGATAAGTTTCTTGGATTGATAGGGAGCACCAGGCTAGTATTTGGTATGGAAACTATGAAAATCTGTAAATGGCTATCCTTGATGACCATTCCAGATTGGTAAGACTTCTTCTATATACTTTCATTGTGTTCATGACTGTTCCATATTTGTGCTTGATTTTGGTCTAGAGGATGTGCAAGATGGGATCTCATCCATGATCATCAAAAAAGCTGTCAACTTTGAGTTTACCAAGCTATGTCTGAGTCTGTGTCTTCTACGTTTAGGAGTTACTGCTGCATTTTTTTTGTCTTCGACTCTTCGCCAATGTGAATTGTGATCCGTTCTTTATGTGATATTGTTTGTCTCAAACCTTTGAGATTCCCATCTCTGACTTGTTTCGTAAGCAGCAGTTTCATTTACCTGGTACGCTTTTGTATGCAGCATTGAGGATGCAAGGAAGTTAATTGATCTTGTTCAAGGTATACCTTGCAAGATAAATCTCATCTCCTTTAATGCTCATAGCGGGTCTGAGTTTCGACCCACCAGTGAAGAGAAGATGATGGAGTTCCGGAATGTTCTGGCAGAAGCAGGATGTGTTGTTTTCCTGCGGTTGAGTAGGGGGGATGATAAGATGGCTGCTTGCGGTCAGCTTGGCAAGCCCGGGGATATCCAGCCTCCTCGACTCCGTGCTCCACCTCGATTCCAAATGGCTTTATGAATATCAGGATTCAGGAAGGTGACTTGGGGATATGGTATTACCTTTGGGCTCTTCATTATTAAAACTAAAGGTGAAAAGGGTGCACCTACCAAAGCCAAGGGGATATGGTATTACCGTTGGAATACTTTAGATTGTAATTTGTAAACCATTAACCACCATTATGATTGATGCTATATATTTTTTATATTTATTGATTGAGACAAGAGGGTTGATGTGAACTCGAAGGTTTCTTCTCATCGACCTTGTTGCTAGTTAGTAGTTACAACTCCAAGGAATTTTCTTCAAATTGGCTTTCTACATGCCGTCCTGTTTTGTGTGTTTAGAATTAAGAAGATTATTGGGATATCCTCCACCATGTGCCTGCCATCATCTCAACTGCAACGGGTATGCCCTACGTACCTACCATGTGCCCCCCCCCTCCCCCATGTGATAGAGATCTCGATTCTCGACTCTCTACCCGGCTGCAACAACTCGATACTCACCTTCAAGATCACTCATCTCACAGATCATCGCAGTTAAAGAGGGACACCTCATTGCCTCGGAATATCTTCCCCACCATCCATTCGAAACCATACAGTGCTGATCAGGTGGACATCAACTGAACCACCATAATTCAGTCAGTGTTCAACCAAAGATTAGACCGATGAAGTGATTAGGCAGGCAGTAGCTAGCCTCCGTACACATCTCCCAAAGGGCGGAAACAGAGACAGATTTCACACGTGGCGAGATCATGAAGGGAACCACCTCTCCCCACACGCATTCGCCGAACGCCACGCCACGCCAATTTGCTACCACCACCATCCACACCATTCAACCGAGCAGACGACCACTTGCACTTCCACGGTGAGAAGACAAATAACGCACTCGGAGTCGGGAGTGCGGTGACTGATACATTGATTGTTCTTTCGGGATGATGGTTTACCCGAGTTGAATGGATGAAGCTGTTATATTGGGATTGGGTTGAACTTTTACTCACTCATATGGAAACGAGATGAAAAAAAAAAAGAAAAAAGAAAAAATTTTGAGACGATGGCGTCGTACTTATTTAATTATTTCAGTCAGCATTATTATATGTATAATGACAAAGCAACGGTACTCTTGAATTACAGATTAGAAAAATAAAATTATAGGTGAAAGTAAACTTACCAAAATTGTTCAGTTGAGATTTTTAATGATCTACCAACAACAAATATCAAAATGATGAAAAATAATCATTTTAAAGCACAAATTAATTAATCAATCATTTTTTATTTATTCTCAAGATGAAAATTTGTCCAAAAAATCTTCTGAGAGCTAGATTTTTTTTATTAAAATTGTAAGTTAAAAAGACGAAATGGTTCCATAAAATAAATAAATAAATAAATAAAATATTGCATTAAGTAGACTGTATTCCCCCTCAAAATATTATAGGGTAATTTGAGGTTTTATAAATATTTAAAGGAATATCCCATGAAATTTAACTAACAAAATGCTAAAACGCCAAGTGTCGGTCAGGATTTTTCCTTTTGTTAATCGTAAATTCGTAATCCTAACTCAAAATTTTAGCCCGAACCAACCTGAAATTGGGTTTGAGTGACCCGGTCCAAGTTGCACCTCTAGAAAACAAAGTAATATCTGAGGTTATTTTTGGCATTTGAAACGTACATGGTAGTGATTAGTGATGAGCACAACTGCAGAAATGTTCCCATATCCAATTCGGAGAGAACATTCCTAATTCCTGGTTCGTCCGCACGCACATATTAAAAAAAAAAAAAAAATAATAATAATAAAAAGTAAAAAACAACGCTTTTGGCGGCATATTGCCTCCTTCGCAGCCACTCCAATACAAAGCTTCTCACGCTTCTTCGTTCCCATTCCTTCCCATCTTTTCCTTCATTTCACGAACTCTAATCGGCCAGTGTCGCTCTCGTTCACTCCACGTCAACTCTCACACAAATCCCTGAATCCTGTGAAGTCTCGTTCTACCGGTCATTCACGAACCCTTCACTCTCTCTTTCTCGTCTCTGAACCCTGTAGCAGAGTAAGGATGGGAGCCTTTTGCAACGAAGAGCTCCCACTCTCGCAGAAACTCAGCTTTGCATCCGCGCATGATCGAAGATTTTCGAAACACGTCCTTGATAACGTCCACGGAACCATCACTCTCGATCCGGTATGAGTTTCGGCGTCGAACTTCGGATTTTAATCCACTTTCTTTACATTGGATTTGTTTCAGGACCTTTTTTTTTGCTTTTTTCCTTTCTCTCTTTTCTTTTGTAGCTTTTGTCTGTTTTTCATTTGACAAGATTGCGAAAAACTTTCAGTTATTGACATGTAGAGCTGCCTTACAGTGAAGCGTTTTTCCTTTTAAGTTAACTTAATTGGATTAGAATGTTGGTTATTTGTAGACGTGGATGGTTTTCGAGAAAAAGGAATTTATAAGATATTCAAGAATAAGAACATCACTTCTAGAAATTGAAATATACTGTGAAAAACGAAAGCATTCATTTAGAAATTTAAAACAAATCAAATTTACTCCCAACGAAAAGAATATTTTAATAAAGAAATGATAGAACAGGTCAATGAAGAACTGAAAACACTTGAGACATGGCCATCTATTTTTAAATGCTTTTGCGAAGGAGATCTCCTACGCAAGCTTTAGCTGGCTGTCTAAATGTAACTCAGTAGTTATATGTACCGGATAATTTCTTCTCTATATTGTTTTCCGATTTTAATCATGATGTTTCACCCCCCATTGGTTCAATCATTTATGGTGTTAGTTTAAGTATCTCTGATAGGTTCTTCGCGAGCTCAACTGCCACCTTGTGACATTTCAGCTTAAGTTTTGTATCTGCCTCTGTTAATGATGAGCAGATAATATATGGATTAATAGTTTTTGTATTTTTATTTGTATAATTGCCCACCAGCATTTTTTAATTCATTGATGTAGAAGTACTCTTAACCTAGACTTGCGGATAGTTGCACAACTAAAATTGATTAATATTTTTTGAATGGTTGCAGCTCTCATTGAGGTTTATTGACACTGAACAATTTCAGAGGCAAGCGTATTTTTTTTCTTAAATGATTTGTGATTTCTTTCCTTTTTGATTATTCTCCCAGTCTTTCTCAGTTATTTTAATTATAGTAAATCATCTTACATTATGTAATTCCAAAATTGCAGGCTTCGTGATCTAAAGCAACTTGGTGAGTTTAAAGTATCTTCTTTGAAATCCATTGTCAGGAATAATAATTTAGTTAAGGTTTGAATGCTCTGTAGTTTGTATCATGTTGTCCTTCCTTTTTATGTTATTTGTTCACTTAAATTTGCCTTATGTTTTACTTTATCACCCCAAATATGGATAGTGGCCCTGGACCTTGAAGGTGAGATGCAAATATCTCAAATGCCTTATTAATATGTCTTTTGCTTCTGGCATGCTTTACCTRCATTTGATAAAATATCATAGTAGCAAGAATTTCAAATAGGTTAAACAATTGCAAATATCTCAAATGCCTTATTAATATGTCTTTTGCTTCTGGCATGCTTTACCTGCATTTGATAAAATATCATAGTAGCAAGAATTTCAAATAGGTTAAACAATTGCAGAATTTTTTAATATCTTTACCATATTTACCGCACTTAACATTTAAATCATGCTATCAGTTGTGTGAACTTTTGTTGTTGCCATACTTGCAAGGACAAATATACTTCTATTGGTGTTTTAAGAGGTAAGTCTTAAAGTCTGCATATGTGGATCAAGTGTGGACCACTGAAGTGTGCAAAGCGTATCTGTGGCTGAGTGAATACATTCTGATTTTAGGATTTCATTTATTTAATTAGGCTGCGTTTGGAAGGAGTACAAATGCAAATATGTAGAGTGCAAAACCTTATATTTTGTATTATTTTTTATGTATTTATGCTGTACATATTTTGCATTTGTACTGCTTCCAAACTGAGCCTTAGTTTTTCAACACGTGCCATCTTGATCAATGCTAAGTGTTTTGGTACCCATTGAAAAATTGAAAACAGTATTTGAGCTTATTGGATTTTGGAAGATTAAAACCTAACAAATAGCACTGAATATGCTGGAAATGATGTCATGAACTCCATTTACATATTTTTATCTAGATTTATTAATACATAAATTAATTGAAGAACGGAATCCAGCCAATTTCATAGCTATTGCTAATTTTCAGCACATGGTAGGCACCTAATACATTGTTCTGTTCTGTACAGTTAGAGCATAAATGTTTCTTTCTTAATTTGGTTTCTGTCAGCAAACTCTTACAGAATTCCATGTATCTTTCAGGTCTGGCGTACATGGTTTATCCAGGAGCTGTACATTCTCGGTTTGAACATTCACTGGGGGTGTATTGGCTTGCTGGGGAAGCAGTTACGAAGCTTCAAACTCATCAAGTATGGAACTGCTTCTACATGCTCTGCTCATTCTCATTGCAGAACCCAGACATTCTTGAAAATATTCTTTGGATACTTGTCACATCCTTGTAGGGCTCAGAGCTGGGAATTGATCGCTTTGATTTACAAACAGTGAAGATTGCAGGTACTTTAAATGTATTTGCTGTTAAACTACCTTGTTTTGAATGATCTGGATCCATCTATTTTGTCTTTGTTTCTATTTCTAGGGCTACTTCATGATATAGGGCATGGGCCTTTCAGCCATTTGTTTGAGCGTGCATTTCTTCCTCGGGTTCTTAATGGTGCTAAATGGTGATTCCCGCCTCCTTTACACAATATAATTTCATTTAATGTTTCCAATGTGTGTGTGTGTGTATTGTATGTCCTCAACTCCAATGTTTTTCTTACATAGCACATCAGCAATTGTAATGCCCAGAAGATCAGAACCAAGACTTGTCAATCTAATGTCTCCTATTTTGGTGGTAAAAAAAAGACACATTCAAGGGGATGGAGGCTTTATTTTTATTCACTGATTACCTAAGCTTTTTGACCAAAAAAATGCCTCCGCCTATTTTGCATTATCTTTTGTGGTTGTAAATCTCAAGACATAAGGATAACCATCTAATAGATAATGTTTCTCACCCATATCTGTATTGTTCAGATCTGATGTTTATTGTCTTTCTCTTGTAGAGGAGGCACTAGTGTTTAATTTGTCATGTGGGCAGCTGCCACTTCATGGTTTTAATGACATAGAACCAAAACCTCAAGTGTATGCTTCTGCACTTGCTTTTTTTGTATTCAAGGTTAAAGTTGCACTTGTCTCATCAAAGCATGCTATCGGCATTAAGCTTGATTGAGACCTCAAGTAGATTGCCAGTGCGTCACTTACATACTGTATGATATGTGTACTGTGTAATGAAGAATTATCTAGTATAACCTATGTGAATTCTGTCTCACTACCTCTTGAATCATTTCTGCAGTTAAATACCTCTTTTGAGGTCAAATTCATGGCATATCATCAATCATATTAAAAACTTCAAAAAGATGATCTTAAAAATAATATTCTCAAAGTGAGAGCCCTGCCATTCAATTGTAACATTGTTTTCATGGAATCAAGTCCAAATTAATAGATTCTGATCAACATGGTGGAAAATTGGATCTTCTTGCTGCCTTTTTGATAATGAATTTGTTATTATATTTCAAAAAATTCAGGTTGTGTTTTGACTCAGGGTGCAGAAACAGAAGCAAAATCTTTTTGACACAAAATCAGAAGCTTCTCAAATGGTCCCCCCAAAATGTATTAAAAAAATTGTTGGAACTAGTGAAAACACAGAAAAATGACCATTAGTCTCTGGATTCTGTACTGCTTGATTCTTGGAACAATACATTGAAATCCAGAAAGTAGCAATTTCCTTCCATCCTGCAACTCAATTTACATTGCCATACAAAACAGCCTTGTGAATTATTTATTTATTGCTGGCAAGGGGTTTATACTTCAGTTTGTGACTATATCATTGGCACTTTTCTTGTATAACCAGTAATGATGTCAGAACAATAATTGCGCTTTTCAATGCCTCTTTAATCTTTAGTAAATTTTCTTTAGAAAGTATTGAATACCATGTCCGATAGAGATAAGTTCCTAATTGGAAGGTTGAAGCTGGTGGGAAAATAAAATTTTGAATTATTAATGATGATGGTATTTCTTGTGGTTTCCCAAATTTCCCTTAAAGAGCCTCTCAGTGTTCCAAATTTCCCTTGGGTTAGGAAATATAAGATTAAGAAACACGACTTTGCTGGGGAAATGGTTTTTGAGACTACTGATGGAACAGGACAAACTTTGGTATAGAGTGATTGTTAGTATTCATGGATTGGTAGATAACAGTTGGGATGCAGGACTCGACCCTAGGGCTTCTCAGTGTTCTCCTTGGAAAGCTATTCAAGGTATTTTGCCTCTTATGCTTCCTTATTTCAAATATGATGTCTAAGCTGGAAATAAAGTCTTGTTTTGGGAAGATGTTTGGGTTGGTGAAAACTCCCTTAGAGATAGATTTCCTTCTATTTACTCCTTGTCTGAAAACAAAAGAAAAGTGATCTCTTTAGTGTTTGTTGATAACTCCTGGGATTTGGGCTTTAGAAGAGGTCTAAGGGATTCTGAAATGGGGATGGTTGATGATTTGATCACTCAGTTTGGGGAAGTCTTTCTTGATCAGTCCTGTAGAGATAGCAGAATTTGGAAACCTTCCCTTTTTGGTTTCTTCAATTGCTCTTCTTTCTATAACGTTTTGCTTCAGACCTCTAACCTTGTAAAGAACTTCCCTTCAAAGGAGGTGTGGGGTAGCCCTGTACCCTCTAAAATTCAAGCCTTTTTTTGGGAAGTGGTACTCCAAAAAATCAACACCTTGGATTTATTGCAGAAAAAGAGGCCAAATATGTGCCTCTCCCCCCATGTTTGTTGCCTCTATTTGGGTTCTGGTGAGACAATTTCACATTTACTAATCTCATGTCCCTTTGTGTTCTTTATTTGGTCTTGGTTCTCTTCTCTCTTTGGCTACAGGTGGACTCCCTCCTCAAGCGTGGTGAACCTCTTTGATCTARCTTTTTACAGGCAACCAACGGTTCGTGGAAGGATTATGTGGAGAGCCACTAGAGCTGCTGTATTGTGGTCAGTGTGGGAGGAAAGAAACAATAGGATCTTTAAAGGCAGTTGTAGATCCAAGGAAGAGGTTGTGGAAGGAATAACTACTAAGGTTATCCATTGGTTGAAATCCTGTGATCTTTTAAAGGATTTCTCAGTTGAAGACATTTATAGAAGTTGGGGTATTGTGGCATCTATTACTACTTCCAAAGCTATGATACCGGAAGTTTGGTCCCCACAACAAAGGGTGAAATTGAACTTTGATGGAAGCTCTATAGGTAATCCAAGCCCATCCGGTATAGGAGGTGTTTTCAGAGATAATGAAGGCAAGATAATGGCTTTGTTTTCAGGTCCAATAGGAGTTAGAGATTCCTTAAGAGCAGAAATCTTGGCACTACGTCAAGGTGTAAAACTGGCCAAACAATTGGGGCTATATCAGATTGAGAGACTCCAAGTTGGTAATTGGGTGGATGCAATTAGGGCAGCTGGGAATTTGGCAATATAGACAGCTGATAAGGGAAATTCTTAGCATAGCAAGGGAGGTGGGTGTTTGGTTTAAGTGGGTAAGGAGATCAGCAAATGGTTTTGCTGACGCCCTAGCAAAACAAGGGACTGTAAGGGAGAGTCTTTATTGGGCAGTGCTGTAATGTTTGATGTTTATTGGATCAACCTTTTCTGATAAGGGTTGAATTCTGTATTTCAGTTTAATTTATCTCTAATGAAAGTTATCGTTTCTGATAAAAAAAATCCTGTGTGTGGATTGTAAGTTGTTTTTTATACAAATTACAACAACTTGGCTCATTAGTTTTTAACCAACTTTTTTTTTTTTTTTATCAATAACAATATGCTTTATTAATGAATAAGATTTGTGAAACTTTAAGTACAGTTTTTAACCAATTTAGTTGATGCCTTTAATTATCCTTTTATGAACTATTAGTTGAAACCTAGATAAACAAGGGGTGAGCTCAATTGTAATTGGCAACGGATATTGGGAGAGGTAGCATCTCGTGCCTCTCTAAGGGATGCTTGCAATGCTTATTTCAAGTGATTATAAAATTTATTTTACTTATAAAAAAACTATTAGTTGAAACCTCAATAAATGTGCAACTTACAGCATTGGAAATTTGGAATCTTGTATTCATTTGTGATGTTTGGAGATGGTTTTCAATTATTTCTGACTTGTTTCTTAATAAATATTGTCCCACCTTGAGTAGTTTCGTCGACACTGTATTACTGCTATTTTGGAGATGGTTTTCAATTATTTCTCACTTGTTCAGGTCTCATGAAGAAATGTCAGTGAGGATGGTTGACTACATTGTTGATGAACACAATATTGAAATTGATTCTCAAAGCCTTAAAAGAGTGAAAGTAAGCTGATATTTAGTGTTCATCTGCTGCAGCCCTGTTCTCTTTGAAGACAATATCTGTTAATTTTCTTTAGCTTTAATTTATGAGCTCCTTCTATCATTAACCATTGCCTTTTCTGTTATTAAAATATATATAGTTATCTCATATGCATAAATACATGTAAATGCATTCAGACATGCATACAAATACATTAAGATTTATGCCCGAATTCTATTTGTCTTTTATTAGTAGCAATGTTTTAAAAAATGACCCGGAACCAGAACCGTTCTGGCCACTAGTTTCCGGGATGATGGTTTGACCTTTTGGTTTGAATGAACAGTTTTTGGCTAGGGACCGAGTTTGGGGTAAAGCGGAACCGGTTGCCTGGACGGTTCCTGGGCTGAATAGTCCAACCATCCGGGTCAACAGCGGTTTGATAACATTGATTAGTAGCCTTATCTCATTTCATGGAGGCACAAGCTGTGGTCATTTCATCATTTATCATACTGTAGCTACTTGCTTTCTTTGAACTAAAGAAAAGCCAAGTTCTCTGAAGTTCTATGCTAACTCTGTGCATTATCCTCTATTCCTTGTGTTTGTCTGGTCTGAGTGTGAACTTTTGTTTGATGAATCATTGTGAAGATACCATTGCCTTCATTTTGGCACTTGATCTTGATGTCTTGTTTCTCACTCTTGAACACACCTATACTATTTTTCCTGTGAGTATGGACCTTTTGATGTTATGAATCTTATGTGCCATCTATTTATTGGTTTATTGCTAAAATAGCTCCTAATCAAGATACATGAAGCAGACCTTGTCTTTTTATGTTCATTATTAGTATCACATGCATTGCACGTGCCTTCTCACTTGTTTTAAATAATGAGGGATAAAGGGTAGCAAATAAAACTTTAAAATACCTTTGTGGTTGACTGAAATAACTATTTTGCTTGTCAGTTTAGTTGATCCAGTCTATGCTTAGTCACCCTATGCAACCACATCATGAATACAAACTAGTTAATAATGCAATTGGTATGGCCCTCAACTGACTTGTTGATGCTTTCATAACTCTACTCCTAACTTTATATCTGATGGATGGTAAGATAACAAGTTTGGAAGTTTTAAACAAACATCCTACAATGTGACCAAATATTAGTTAGTTTTCTATCTATTTCAAACCACTGCTATATAAATTTGTAGGGATCCACATTGGGTCCTTTGTTGCACATCCTAGTTATGTAATTTGTCCTTTGTTATTATTAGTATCACTAGATTCACTATTATTTTTGTTATTATATGCATAATTCAATATCTTTCCATCATCACCATCATGACTATAGATGTACATCACTACTATTTTACATATTTATATTTTCTGGTTATTGTTTTTGATGGTGCGCAATCCGGCTGGTCCTAGCTGTCAATGACCTTGCCTCTGAACGGAGCTATAGGGAGCCTGAAACAGAGAAGATGAGGAAGCTCCGGGGGGAACCCGGTATGAATGCTCCGAAGCTCAAGTTAGAATTCTTTCTTAGGCAAGATAAAACCAGATGGC